TGCTCCTGCGGCGCCGTCCGAGCCCGCGGTGCGCGGGATCCGGTGATCGCTGGTCTGCGCTATAAGGGCCGGTGATATCAACCACCGAGAGATTGGAGCCTTCCATCCCAGTTTTCCCCCTCACCAACCCCGCCTCTTTTCCCTCTACCTCCCGTGCGATCGCCCCCATCCCTTCGCCCGAGGTTCCTTGTTGGTTGACGCCGGCGTCAGCACTTTGGTTGGAAAACCCCCCACTCGATACACACGCGCACCCACAGACCGCTGCCTCAGCACCAGGTACTTTGACGCCCATGCACTCATCCGTCCAGACGCAACACACACGCACCCAGACACATACACATACACACCCACACACAGCCATGCATGAAGATGCACCCCTGTTGGGAAGACCATTGCCACGAAGCAGCAACCCCTGGGCGCATGCCGAGCATCGGTGCTTCGTGGCATGCACACCGTGACCAGCCTGCCAGCATGGGCGCCGGCAGGGGAGGGGGGGGGGGGCAAGAAACATCCTCTCTGGCTCTTGCCGCCGCCCTCTAATCACCGCGGACATCAATCTAACACTCCTCGCCCGGCTGCTGTGCTTTCCCCGGACGGTGGTTGGTAGTGCGTGACCGCCACCATGAATGACTCCCTGAACGAGGACCCCTCCATGCAGGCGACCTATGCTGAGGGGTTCCCCATGGCCAAGTCCATGCCGTCCCCTCCGCAAACCAGCCGGCCGCTGGTGGTGGAGCCGGTCGAGGCCGTCCGTACCACGGTCACTCGCACCACCACCGTCACGCCGGTCCAGCAGGAGATCGTCGAGCCCCGAGGGCCGGTCATCTACCAGCCGCCCAATCCGCCGGTGGTGCCGGACGGCGAGGCGCGCCGGTTCAGCGTCGTGTCGCCCTACTCCAAGTATCGCGATCCGCAGCAAATCCGCCGGCTACGGTGGATCTACATCATTGCCGGCCTGCTGATGCTGGCCCAGATGATTGTCCTGGTGGCCATTGCGGGCAGTCTCAACCAGCCGAAGTACCGGATTTACACCATGTTTGCCGGGTATGCTCGTGGTGATCGGCGCTTCCGCTACATCAACCTCCATCCGCGCGGGTTCATGACCGTCGCGCCGTATGTGTCCATCTTCATGGGGATCATCGGCGCCTGCTACCTGCTGGGTGGAATCTTCGCCGGCAAGATGCAGTCCTCCATTGCCCGGCGCGGCATCAACTACTGGCACTGGTTTGGCATGCTCCTGTCCTTCACTTGGCTCAGCTTCATTGTGGCCTGGGCCGTCGGTGTGTCGGACATGTTCCTGCTGATGAACATTGCCTTCCTGACTTTCGGCATGGTGGGCCTGTGGCTCATGCAGCATGTGGTCAATCCGCCGGTCGACGGGACGCGCAACTTCTGGGGCCATATCATGGGCTGGATTCCCTTCCTCATGATCAGCACCACCCTCATGGCTTTCCTTTGGAACCGGGAGAATCGCTCGGCCAATGCCCTGATCTATGTGGCGGTCTTCCTGACCGTGGTCCTGTACCTGCTGATCGGCCTGGTTCAGATGTTCCACTTCATCAAGCACCGCCGGTATGAGGCCAGCTACACCACCGACAAGATCTACCTCTTCCTGAACTTCATCTTCCTCAGTGCCATCGGCTGGGTGATCTTCGCCTGCTTCACCGGCAAGTTCAACGACTTCGACACGGACGATCCCAAGTAAAGGTGTCACTTGGGCGGAGGGGGGAGGGGGCGGGGAACTCGGGTGCGCTATGCCCCCATGCCTGCCGCCCTCCTCGCATCCGTGTCCCTTTGTGCGTCCCGGGGGAGACCCCGAAGAAGGGGGACCGGGAATGGCGGAGAGTCGTGTCGGGGTGTGGCACGAAGGATGAGCCTCGGCAGGAGGGGGAGGGATCCCACAAAGGGGAGGGCGACGTCGGTGGAAGCACGAAGTTGAATCTGTGCCTCACGCTCGCCCGCCTCGGTTCCCAGTGCCCACCCGACCCTTCGGGCCTGCTGTCTAATGCAATGTACGTGTGTGTTGGTGTGTGTGGGGGGTGCCTTTCCGAAAGTAGAGCCCACATGCCATGATGTGACCCCCTTCGGGGAGTCGATTGGGGGATTGGGCGGCAGGCCGGGCCAGGGGGTGTGGATGGGCCTGGGCGGTGCGTCGCATTGTTGTTCAGACCCACGGGGCGCACAGGAGAGGGACTTGGTCCGCGTAATCAAGATCCCCTTTTTGCATGTGCCCTCGCCTGCGCACGCACACACGCCGGCCGAAACACCTCCTCCGGGCTTGCCCTTCTTCCCGTGGCCTCAGTGAAAGGAAGTTCCCGAGCAGTACCCATCGACAAACACACGCACACACACACACACACACACACATGGATAACAGGCGAACTTGGCACACATCGAGCATGAAACCACACAACAGATGTGCGCGTACATGAACCCGAACCCTGCTTCTCGTGTCCCCCCCACCCCCCCCACACCCCCACCCTCCTTCGCCTCTCCCCCTCTGTCTCTCCCTTTCCCCACGTTCACGCCGGAAGTGTGCCTCACCGGGAAACGGGGAGAGCGCAATGTGCGCACCCACACATCACCATAATACACGCCACTATGTCCATATGCATGCCGCTTGCCGGCAACAAAACACCGGCGCACGTAGCTTGTGCATCGGGAGAACCGGGGGGGAGGGGAGCGCCTTCTGTGCGACGAAGAGAAGGACACACGCGCGCGGGGGCAGGAAAACAAAGCAACCCCCACAGAGGAGAGCGGGTCGTGGGAGGGGGGGAGAAAAGAGGGGAGGGGAAGAGGAAAGAAAACAACAACAACAACAACAACAACAACAAGAGGGGGGATTTGGTTTTTCCATATAACAACCGGGGAGAGAGATGTGTATATGCGCATGTGTATACAGCAAGAGAATGGCCGACATAGAAGGGGGGGGGAGGGGGAATTTGAGAAGAACTGGGGAGCCCCTTATATGCCGGGCGCGCCCCTTTTGCCAGGTGGTACACACACACGGAGGAGCCAGGCGCAGGGACACAGGGAAGGAGAAGGACCGAGGGAGAGAGAGAGAGAGAGAGAAGGAGGCGGCGTGCACGAGAGCACAGCAGGCGCAACACGCCGATCCGTCGCCACGGCACCCTCTCCTCCTGCCCCTCCGTTGGCCTAACTCCCCTCCTCCGGGACATCATCACGCCCGGGGGAAGGGCGGACGAGGACGAAGGGAAAGGGGAGGAGGGGGGGGGGGAGGTGCTCACACACGCGCACACACACGCTAAGCCGGATGTGCTCGAAGAAACAGGCTCCCTTAGTTGCCGCCCTCCAGGGTGGTGATCTTCTGCTCGAGGACACGGATCTGGATGTCCTTCTGGGTGAGCTTGTTCTGGAGGTCGGTGACCTCGGCCTTGAGCTTGGCCCAGGCCTCGCGGTACTCCTTCTCGTTCTTGGGGGTGTCATCCTTGACCTCCTCAGTGAGGACGGACTTGAAGGAGACATCCTTGCGAGCGCCGGGGACGAAGCCGTTCTCGAGGCTGATCTTCTTGGGGCCATCGACGGACTTGCCGCCGAAGAACTCGGCGCAGGACATGGGGGCCTCGCCGGAGGTGGCCTCGGGGAAGAGGTCATCCTGGAAGAGCTCCGACTTGCGGGGGACCTTGAAGGAGATGGGCTCAATGAAGGAGGTGGTCAGGCGGTAGGCACGGCCGATCTCAACCTCGTTGACGTTGACGGCGCGCTTGGGGACGAAAGCCACACCACGAGACGGGTCGGAGCCGGAGTAGTTGGAGATGTGGTGGATGTGGGGCTTCTCGTCGGTGACCTCGAAGTAGCGGATGGTGGTGTCACCCTTGCCGGCCAGGTAGAGGATGTGGCAGTCCTCATCGTAGAAGGGCATCAGCATACCGGCGGAGGTGTCCAGGTTGTCGGAGTAGATGGGGTTGTCCAGGTCGTTGACATCACGGATGGCCATCTGGCGATCGGAGGCACGGGAGAAACCGGTGGTGGCGATCTTGTTGGAGTCGCCGAGCCACAGGCAGCGGGAGCCCTTGACACCCTGGTGGGACTCGGTCTGCTGGACGAGCTTGCCGGAGCGGACATCGAAGATGCGGAGCTGCTTGTCACGGCAGCTGGTGACCATGAGGTTACCGTTGTAGTTGAAGTCAATGGAGTTGATCAGATCGGTGTGGTGGGCCTCAATGTCGACCTTGGCCACGCCAGCCTCAATGTCCCACAGCTTGATGACAAGGTCACCGCCGACGGTGGCGAGGGTGTTGTCGGCGGTGGGGTGGAAGAGGACGGCACCGACACGGCGCTTGTGGCCGGCGAGGGTGGACAGGGGGGTGTCCTGGCTCTCCTTGAGCTCCTCGGGGATCTGCCAGATCTTGACGGTGCAGTCCTCGGAGGCGGAGGCAATCAGGTAGTCGTTGAAGGGGTGGAAGTCCAGGTCCAGGACGGCGGCCTTGTGGCCGGTGAACAGAGGGGGGGTGGGAGAAACCTTGCCGACATCCTTGGTCTGGTCGAAGACGGCGAAGGCACCACCACCACCGGCCTCCCAGCAGACACCGAGGTACTGGGAGTTGGCCTTGATCAGGTTGGTGTCATGGGCAGTGCGAGAGGGGCGAACACCATCGAAGCACAGGTCCTTCTTGGCAGCGGTGCCGAAGACGTGGCGGAACTTGGAGTTGCGGACAAAACGGGACATGACTGAGGCCGGGCGGGGGGGGGGAAGGGGGAAGGGGGTGAGTAGGCGGGTCGCGGGGAGGCGGGGCGAGGGGGGGAGGAACGAAAGAAGGAGGGGGAGGGGAAGGAGGTGATGACGGTGGCAATTACAGTGCCAGCAATCATCAAGAAGAGCCTCGGAGAGACCGAGACAGAGAGAGAGAGAGAGTGCCACTGCATTGAGGCTCGTGCTGATGACACCGGCGGTGCCACCAACGCGAGCAAACGTCGGCGGGGCCGAGACGACACGCAAGCGCGTGTGTGTGGACACGGCAAGCAAAAGGGCAAGCACACCAAAAAAAAGAGGGAGGAAGAGGAGAGAGGGAGGAAGAGGAGAGAGGGAGGAAGAGGAGAGAGGGAGGAAGAGGAGAGAGGGAGGAAGAGGAGAGAG